TTTTTTAACTTTAATAAGAATATGATTTCTTCTTCTCTTGCATACACTGCAGATTGTTCATCTCAGTAGAAACTCATTATCTTATAGACTAGAGTTTATAAATAACAGTGTTAATATCTTTATTATAATCAGATTCTTAGCAAAGATCATATCATTCTGACTTATCAGAATTCACAGTATAAAAGTTATATCTCAGCTTCTGCAGATGTCTTATCTACTCAGATAATTCTCAAGTGAACTTATTCATCTTGTCAGAATATTCTTATCACTGAACCTTGAATCAGAGCTTGTAATCTCACTTCTCTGAGTTAATAATTTCTTTGACCTGATATTCTCTTTCACTCTCTAGTACTTCATGAACAGAGTGATAAGTTACAGAGTTCTCTTCTGAGAATTTCTTATATTCATAAAGCAAAGAGACATAAAAAATATTGTATATCTGTAACTTAGATAATAGTTTTAATCTGTAGAACAGCAAACTAATTTTCTTTATAATCTTACAAGACTCTGTCTGTAAGAGATTCAGCTTCTTACTAGATCTCTATATAATAATGTTTTCTAGACTTAGTCAGACTCTATCATCTTTCTTGAAACTCTTTATAATATGCTTAAAGTCATAGTATCTCTTCTGATACTCTTGAGTCTTTCTCAAGAATTCACAGGCTTTCTTCTGAATCTTCTGAATTCTCTCAGCTTATTCACAGACATTACTACACTCTATAGTGTACTCTCACAGGTTCATCAAGATTATCTGTGAATGAGTCTCAGTAAGCATCTCAAAGAGAGTTTTGCCTGTGCTGATATACTTTAAGTTATTGTATATAAACTCTGTGAGTGATAATCAATACACTCAGTTATTCTGATTATAATTAACAAAGCATCACAGATACTGTTTCAATATACTTATCAGATATTCTATCTGATTATCTGTCTATTGATAAAAAGCTGTGCTTAGATCTCATAAGATCTTCAGTATAGTTATCAGATCAGATCAGAACTCTTCTGCAAAGATTAATTCTCTATCTGAGATAATGTTCACAGATAACTCATGCAACTGAATCATATCACAGATAAAGATATGAGTCAAATCCTTTGACTTTAAGTTCTTATGAGTGAGTATAAAGTGTGTCATCTTGATGAAGTAATTCACTATCATCAGCACACTGTCAAAGCAGGCATTATATATGTCCTTGCTTTCAGAGAGACTCATAAGAGCATTCATTTCTAGCTGTTCTCAAGGTTCTCATGAAATGAGTAGAGAAGTAAGTTCTTTATATGACCTGGATCACACTACTCACAAATTCTGATAAACAGCACAAGAATTCACTATCTTCTTCACAAGTTCTCATATCTTCAGTCAGAAGTATTTTCTTGTAAGCAACTTATGAGTTCTAGTGTCTGTAAAATGATCTGCTAGAGAAGAGTCATGATATCTTTTGATGAATTCTATATATAGAAACTCATTCACAGGCATATAAATTCAGTTCTCTCTTTATAAGAGATTATTTAAGTCTCTTCAATTCTTTATTTCTACAGGATTGATCTCTGTCATGAGCAGTTTCTGAATATACTGAGTATATTCATTCTTCAGTTGCAGTTCAGACAATCTGAATAGAAGATTTTATAAAGACTTATACTCTGTTTCTTCTTACACCAGGTCTTTCACAGCACTTCTCAAAGTCTGCAAATTCTTCAGATTATAGATACTCTCTTCAAGAATTCTCACAGAGATTCTCAGAGTGTTAACTCTCAGTGTTATAGAGAGTAGTTATACAGGCTTCTTTTCTCTCTTCTCTCTCTTCTCTTATAGAGAATTGAGAGACTCTTCAGTCAATCTCTTTATAACACTCAGTCTGAGCATTCTGTGAAGCTTTTCTGTCTTCTCTAATCTCTCTGTATCTGTCACTCTGACCTTCTTAACATAGTCTGATCTGTGAGAGAGTTCATTCACTGAGTTCTTAGTTCTCTTGATATGTTCTATCTTGAATCAGAACTCACTCAGTCTCTAAGCTCAGTGAACCTGTCACTGTGAGAGTTTCTTGATTGAAGTAAACTATTACAAGCTATCATGATCAGTTCTAACAGTAATCACTGTCACAAGGCTCTTGAAGTAGTGATATCAGTGATGAAAGAATTTCACTATCATGAGTAGACTAGCCGCTGGGACCATGAATTTCACGTTTGGTCTCATTTGATCTGGTCTCATACATTTCTTGGCGTGAATCCCGCTGGGACTGGCTATCAAAAAAACAGGTAAAGTGACTATATATCAGATCTTAAAATGGAACCATGACTTGAAAAAAATGAGAAAGTGGTCTCATTTGGTCCCATTTAGTCTCATTCTTGGCATAAAGTTACTATTTTTAGACATTTTAAGGTTTTTTTTAGACTATTTTTAATTTTTTAAAAAGTAACGCTTTTTGGTAACGCTCAAATGAGATTTAAAGTCATTTAAAGCAATAAAAATAATTTAAAATGAGAAGTGGAAATCATGGTCTCATTTGGAAAATGTGACAAGAGTAGACAGTAAGTCTCACTGGGACAGTATGGGACTACTATCTAATGTTAAAAGCGTGTAATGGGATCAGTCGAATTGGTAATGAGACTATCAAAAAATCTGGTCCTGGTCTCAGACACGGTCACACGGTCAGTCTAATCATGAGAAGCTTCTGATTATAAATGTCATAGTTGATCTTCACAGGTTGCATCTTCTGTGAGAAAAAGGCCACTGAAACTCAGTTCTTATTTGACTGTAGTTGCAAGACTATTCCTGAAATTGCAAAGAAGAAAATATCTGTCTTCAATCTGATTAAGAGCAAGAGATCAAAGTAAAACAGTATCACTATATCTGTAAATATCTGTTTCAACCTTGTAAAGGCCTTATAAGCTTCTGAGATAAGAAAGTTCTCACAGTTCTCTCTTCTCAACAATCTTTTCATTCTTTATTCACAGAATGACTTCTTCTTGTTTTCATTCTTCAGCATGTCTGTAAGGGTCAAGAAGATTCTTATGAATACAAAGATAAACTGTCTATAGAAATTCACAAAGCTCAGAAAGATCTGAATCTCATGAAAACTAGTTAACTCTGATTATAATAGAATAGTCTCAACTTACAAAGGTTTCATCTGAATATTATCTGCAGTGATTACATATTCTAGGAAATTAATTCAGCAGACACTGAAGTTGCACTTTGTGAGCTTAATATACAGTTCTGTCTCATCTAAGACCTTCAACACACTTCATATATAATCAGTATGTTCTTTCTTCTTTATAAAGTACATCATCACATTATTCAGATATATTATCACAAAGACATTCAGATATGCACAAAGTGTTTTATTAATAAAAGACTGAAATACTATGAGAGCATTAATCAGACTAAAAGACATCACTAGATATTCAAACAATTTCAGTACAGTTCTAAAGACAGTCTTTCATTCATTCTCAGACTGTATTCACAGCTGTGTATATACATTGATCACATTCAGTTATATAAATATAACAGCTCTTATGAGACAGTTGATCACATTCTCAATCAGAGATAGAGAGTAGCAGCTCTTTGTTATCTTGAAGTTCAGATTACAGTAGTCTACACACAATCTGAGATCTTCATTCTTCTTCTTCACAAATATCACAGAGGCTCTCACAGAGATCTGTGAAGATCAGATAAAGTCATTCTTCAGATTCTTCTTCATATAGATCTGTAAGATCTCTGTCTCATGATAAAAGAGCTTATAGATTGATTCTCAGAAGAGTTTCTACTTTTCTATTAAATCTATTATCAGATTCTTCTTATAGTGAGAAGAAAGCTCAGCTATCTTAACTGAGCTGAACATCTCTGCAAGATCTCAGTATTTCTCTGATATCTGAAGCTTAGTTTTCATGACTGCAAGATTCTCAGACACTTATAAAGTCATTATATAGATGAGCTTGTCTTCTCTAATCAACTTTACAGTATCAACTGCTTCTATCTTTATAAGTGAGTCTGTCAACACTGATCAGAAGTATAAACCTGACTTACAGACAGCTATGTGCAGATTATGTCTTTAAAGTTATATAAGTCTTAAATACATATCATCTGTGATATCTGTAATAATTACAGTTTTCACAAATCTTCTTCAGATTTCAGAGAGATCTTGTAATTCAAAGATAACTCTTATGAGTTTCTCAGTTCTCAGGTCTGAGTTCTCATATTCTACTTATTATAAGAGTAGGTTCTCAGTTTTCATCTTTCAGCTCATTCACTCTGTAAGCTTTAGAGACATTACAGTGATCTAGAATTCTGAGTTCATCAATACTTTTCATACTTATAGAGTAACAGTATCATGATGCAGTCTCTTCTCATAAGCAAGCATTTTCATTGAGAGAGCAACAGATTCAGATATCAGCTTTAAGACTCTTAAGAAGACTGTTACTGACTCTGTTCACAACTTCTCAAATTTCTATTTTAATTTGTTCAGACAGTTTATACAGAGATGTTCTGATTTAGAACAGATAAAGCAGAGTCTCTTTTTCTTAATCTCTCTATTATATACTCTGTTTATAGAAGCTTATGAAGCTCTTTCTTTCTACTCAGTAGTCAGATACAAATCTCTTTATATCTTATTATCTTTTTCTGATAAATCTGTTCTCTGTTATTCTAACTCTTACAGAGCTGATTAATGATTCACTCTTCACAGATCTGTGACTCTCACAGTAATCTGTAAGTAATGAATGAGAGTCATCAGTTTCTTCAGAGTCAAGAGCTTAGAGTCTTACTCAATAAGCTTATTCTGTATATCTTTATTCAGCTTCTTCATGAATATCATTATTCAGGTCTTATTTCAGAGCTCTGTTTTCACAGATTTCAATTCATATTATAATTTCATGAAGTACTGTGAGTAGTCTTCATCAGATTTCTTACCTCTTTTTCTAATATTGATGATCATAGTTCAGATGTTCTCTGTTCAGCTTGCAGAGTCTCTTAACTTATTCTTTAGATAGGTCTTGAGAATAGATTATCAGAATCTCTCATAATTATTCTCTAGATAATTCAGTCAGTTCTTGACTTCAGTGTAATAGAGATCTGTTATTATATAGATAACAGTTTCTTCATCTTTCATATCACACAGCTGAGCTTATAAGTCAATTTCAAATACAAACTTGTAAAAGCTTTTATAGATTATAATTCAATAGATAATCTTAAGTAGTCACAGCTTGAGAAAGTTTCTTTTTAATTCACAGATGTCTCTGAAGATTATGTCTAGAAACTCAGTTTAAGAGTGTTTACAGACAGTAAGCATTTCTTGTAGAAAAATAGCTTAGTTCTGTAAGAGATGCTTAAGAATGTTCTTCACTGAGATTGATTCATTTATAAGTTCAGAGAATTCCTCTGTGTAAGAATAAGTGCTCGCAGGCGATTATTCGGGTGTTTGCAGCTTGGCGTGATATGTACTGTTAACTACTAGAAGTGTTCACGGTAGGAAGATAAATGTAGGGGTCAAATGTATAATAGCATTCAAGCTGAGTTGTGAATAGTATTCACAAACTCCAGTCTATATAGTTGTGTGTAGCCAAGGGCCGCTAGCCCTATTGGTTACATGAGAGATAGCATATAGAATGCAACGACCGCTCCACCACGAACTCGCTCGATTTTTCGAATAAGAACCCGCCGATAGATCCATCGAAAAGCCCTCGATCATACGAGCATTCTGACCCCATCGCCGACCGCATACCCTGTGTGGTGGTGGAGTTATCCAGCCAAACGTGAACCGGACGTTGTTCAAAACTCCTGTGTGGGAGTATCCCCCGTTCTCCCCTACCACACCACAACCCCGGGCCAAAGTGCCATACAAATTGTAAGGTGAAGAGACCTAGCCATATGCACCAATCTTCTCGATTTTGGAAGATCCCCGATCTGTAGTTGTGGAGATATCTGAGGAGCGACCTCCGCGAAAACCCTGTCCATCTTTGATGTTCCAAAACACCAACGCCAAGTCCCACCGTTGTACCGCCCTTCCTAATCTGGCCCATCCCCGGCAGAAAAATACAAAAAGATACCTCGGCGATAATATCAAGCACATAACCAACGGCCACTTCTGAAGTGCAACCTCCGCGGTCTGTCTTCAGTGTATCTGAACATCAACGCCAAGTCTCGCCCTCGTACCACCCCTCTCAATCTGGCCCATCCCCAACAGAAAAGTACAAAAAGATACCTCAGCAACTGTACTCAATACATAATCAGCAGACACGACAACTATAAAATCAGTATATCTCAAGGTCTGACTGAGCCTTTGATCCCTGCACAGTGAGATATATTAAATCTAGTTTTAATATCTCAATATTCAATAGATTCTGCAAGAGATTGAGAACAGCAACACTAGGTTTCTATTGAATTTGAGAATTAACTCTATATTGATATAATCATTGACAAAGTCTTCTATTTTGAGATATAAATAACCAGTTCCTCTACATCTCACTGGCAATATTTATATTATCATATAGAAACAGACTTATATTCTCTATAATATCAAGACTCTGAAGAGGGAAAGTCTTGGTAGAGGGTATACAGTAGTGCATATCTTAGCAGTTTCTATCTCATTCTTCTGCAGCAGTTAATGCAAAAAAAAGATTTTAGAAATAGTTTTTTACTTCTCTTAAAAAAGTAAGGTGTTTTTCTCTGGGTTTTACACAATATTCTTACAAAGAATTAAAAACAGAGTTGTTTTCTGTCATAATTTCATATTCTTTTAAGTAAGAATTACTTTTTCAGTGACTGAAGAGCTTTCATTAATACTTAATTCTTTTTTACACTCTTTATTAACTGATTTGAGTTGCATACCTGTTGTGCGAGGAGAATTGAATAATTTAGAATAAAATTGAATAGTTTTAATCAATTTCTCTTCAAAAAATTGATTTATTTTTTGTCAGTTTTTCTCTCAAAAACTGTCATATCATCTGATTTACTATCAATTGATATCATACTTTTCCTCACTGTATCCCAAGAAAGAGATTGTAAAGATTTTATTGATTTATCTTAAAAATCAATTTTAGTTTATTAGATTCTCTTCAAAAATCTAACCTAGTTACTGAACTAGTGTGAAAAAAATCAGGTGTTTTATACACAAAAGTCTGCAATTCTTCTTTTGAAATAGTCTGACCAACTTTTCAATTGAAAACAGACTTAGAAACCTCTTAATTGAAACAGTCTGACCAACTTTTCAATTCAAAAGAGTTTAATAAATATCTCAATTGAATTAGTCTGACCAACTTTTCATTGAGTAAGAACAATGAGTTCAAAAGTACACTCAGTTGATGTGGAAAAAGATGCTTTCTCAAATGCTATTCCTGAGATTGAAATTCTGAAGAGAAGAAAGAAAGAAGAGATAGAGAAACAACAAGTTCTTGAAATACAGAAACTTGAAAAAGCAAGTAAAATTCTTGAAAAGCAGTGTCTGAGTGAGATGAATGAAGAAGTTCTGTTAATTCTTCATGCTCAGGCTAGACAACTACAGAAAGTGATCAAGTTCAAACTTGGAATTTCAAACACAGTTCAAAAAACTTTGAAAATTTCTAATACAATCACTGACTCTTCAGTTTGCTCTTCTTTCTTTTCTACTTCTTCTTCTTCTCCTTCTTTGAATCAGAAGAAAACATATGCTCAAGCAGCTGAATCTGCTGTCTCTAAACCTGCTATCTCTAAACCTACTGTCTCAAAACCTGCTCAAAATTCTGAGAAAACTGAGAAGAATACTGCTCATGCCTCTATTCATAGAAAAGTGAAAAAGAAAATGCAAAAAGAGAAAAACTTTCAAATCTTCAGAAATAGAAGACTTATTCTCAAAGTCTCAAATCAGAACATTCTGCAAAGAAACAAGCTAAACTCAAATCTCATTTTCAGAATCAGAAATGAAATTAATCAGCAGTTCTTTTCTCAGTTAATGACTGATATTGAAGTTCAAAAACTAGTTATAGCTTCAATTGAATCATCATTCTTTGAAAACTTCATTATTCTGACTACAATGCCTGAATTCAGTGCTGAATTCCTTATTCAGAATGAGAATCTCTGAAAGTCAGCAGTAGAATCTTTGTTAAACACAATAATTCTATCTGAAAGAGATGAAAAGTGAGACAAATTCATTCTTCATAATATTCCAGTTGAAATTTTTGACTGTGAAGAAGGAATGCTACTTCTCAAAAATGAATTGAAAGAATACAACTCTATTCAACTGAGAAAGAAGCCTGTATGACTAAATTCAATTGAGTTCAGACAAAGCAGGAGAAATGCCTCTGTTCTAGTATATACAAAAACACTTGAACAGTCAAAGATCTCTGAAGTAAGAGTAGCAGGTTTGAAAATGAGAGTTCATGAATACAAAGACTCAAGGATGAACCTCAAAGCTCAAACACAGTGTTCAAACTGTCAAAGATATGAACACTTTGCAATCTCATGTTTTAGAGACTCAAAATGTGCATTCTGTGCCAGAGATCACAAAACTAGTGAGTATAAATGTGAAACATGCTCAAAAAGAGGTGAAATTTGTCAACACACTCTGCTTAAGTGCTCTAATTGCAAAGAAAAACATGCATCTAGCTCAAAAGAATGTATGTTTGCTTCTAGAACTCAAAAGAACTGGAGAAAAGATGAAGCTCAAAGTCAATCTAGAACTGAAGAGAAGAGTCAAGCCAGTAAACTCACAACTACAAGCTCAAAAAGAAGAAACTCTCAACTATCTAAGTCTTCAAACTCCAACTCTCCAGCTAAATGTAAACAGAACTTGAATCCTCAAACTCCTGTTAAGATTAGAGAATTGAGAAATGACTCTGATGATAAACTAGATATAATGCAAGCAGTTGAGATTCCTACTTTTCAGAACAGTTATAATCTACTATCTGATGATAGTGATTAGATTCTACTCTACTCTCTTTTAGTATGAATATACAACAAAAACAATAAAAAAAGTTTAAAAACTCTTCAAAAATCACATTTATTCAAAATAATGTGAATAGAAACTCAAATTATATTTATTCTTGTCTTCAAATTGCATTTGAATAAAAAGTTGATTTTATACTGCTTCAGGAGCCAAATTTTGATGCTGAGCAAAAATATGTTATTTCTCATTCAAGCTACTACTGCTTTTTACCTCAAAAGTCTGAGATAAAGTCAAGAGTAGTGATCTATAAAAGAAAGAGATCAAGATATCAATTTAATCTAAGATTTGATATCATGTCTGACCCTGATATTCTGATGGGTGATATTATAGATAAAGAAAATGAGTTTGATACTATACAGCTCATAAATATCTATAATGAAAAGTCATTGAAGAAAAATAACAATATCTGGACAATTGATAGAGGATTTCTGAACATAACTTCATCAAGAAACTCTATAATTGCAGAAGATTTCAATGCACATCATTCCTGATGGAATTCAGAATGCAAGAGAGCAGTGAGAGCTGATAATCTGATTGAATGAACCTTTGAGCATTCAATAGATTTGGTTAATAAGTCTGATCAACAAACATTCTTTAGAAAAGGCATGAAACAGAAGTCTATTATAGATCTAACCTTCATGTCACAAAATCTAATGAAAAGAAGACTTGTAAACTGGTTTATTGATTCAAATGAGACATCAGGATCAGGTCATGAGATTATTCAATTTGATATTGAACTGAGTGAAAAACAAATGAGTGAAAATCCTCTTCTCTCTAATCAGTATAACTTTGAAAAAGCTGATTGGAAAGCAGTTGAAGAAAGCATAAAACTGCTAAAATCTGAAAAACAGAATAAGCTATATTGAAATTCTGGTCAAGATATCTCAAATGAAATGCTTGAGAATAGAGTGAAGCTTATTACATCTATTATTCTAACAAGTGTTAGAGATAATATTTCAAAAAGAAAATCTTCTGAGTATTCAAAACCTTGATGAAATGAGAATATCTCATCTAAAAGGAAAGAATTAGCTACTGCTAGAAGAGATTGGAAAAATGATGTAATATCTGATGAAGAGTTCAAAGCTGTCAGAAATGAATATTTTTCAGATATCAAAAGAGCTAAAACAGACTGCTGGAATAAATTTCTTGAAGAAGCACAAGAGAAGGAAATTTTTAAAGCTTTTAACTATACTAAAACAAGAAGTGTAGCAAAACTTCCAGCCTTAGAATATGAGTTTCAGAATGAATCATATACAGCAAACTCTTTTGAGAAAAAATGTCAAGCTTTCATGAGAATTCTCTTTCAGAACTCATCAGACTCAGACTCAGATTCAGAGGAAGAGAATATATCACTTCTCAACTACATTGATGAAAATGACTGGGAATGGCCTGATCTTACACAAGATGAATTAGAGTCAGCTATCTTCTCAAGTTCTGTTAAAACTGCTGCAGGTCCTGATTCAATTAATCACTTGATTATTCAAAATACATATTCCTACTTAAAGAATGAATATTTTGAGCTCTTTTTCAATCTCTTGAAAAATGAATATCATTCTGAATGCTGAAGAGAAGCCACTGGAGTGATTCTTGCAAAACCTAATAGAAAAACTTCAATTCCTAAGTCATATAGAGTAATATCTCTATTGAACTGTTTAGAAAAGGTTTTAGAAAAGATAATAGCTACTCAACTATCTTTTATAAGCTCTATAGATGATTCTCTTTTATTCAGTGAACAAATGAGAGGTAGAAAACAGTGTTCTGCAATTGACACTGTTCTCTCAGTTATTCATAATATTCAAATAGCAAAGCATGAGGGTCTGGTCTCAACTGCAGTTTTTATTGATATAAAGAGAGCATTTGATCATGTTTCAAAGTCAAAGTTAATTCAGACATTGAAGATATTAAAACTGCCACTTTCTCTAATAAAATGAGTTAACTGTTTTATATCTAAAAGAATTATACAACTCTTCTTTGATGAAATGAAACAAGACAAGACTGAGATAAAAATAGGAGTATCACAGAGATCTTCAATCTCACTCATTTTATTTGCAATATATACTGCATATCTATTCAAAAATAGAAATATGAGAATAGTGTGAT